ACCAACCTCACCAACCTTAGAATTAAAAATATTTTTTTATAGATAAGCTATTACATAAAATTTAAACTTTTATACAGGAGGAGGTAAAACTAAAAAAATTAAGACTGTCTGATCTGGGACCTGTGATAATTCACAGCACCAATTGTAGGCATAGTAAAACCTAATTCCACCAGGACTCTGAATCTCTTTTTATGGAGAGCACATGCTATTTAAAACCCTATTCATAACCCACCTAGTAAGACCTTTTTCATTTAGAAGTAATAAAAGCTAATTTCATTCACACACAGTCGATAATTCCTGTAGCTCAATAGACTTATAAAGCTATTTGTTAGCTTGTGTGCAAGGACAAGAGTCTGTTTGTGTGTGTGAACAGCCCTCCATTCTCTTCGTCTGTGGCAGTGAAGTGGACAGGTGACCTTCCTCTGGTATAAAGTACAATATGCTAGAGTAAACACACACATACACTCCATCAATCTTTGTTGCAGCCACAGGAAGGAAAGCAGCCAGCATTTCACAGTTCCTTCTGTTTCCTTACAATGCAAAAGAGAGCACTTAGTACTTTCTTCAGGGCTTCACTTCTGCCCCGTCTGTAGATTTTCCCGAAGGGGATACGTGAAGACTTTATGACAGCCCAGACTGTGAAGAGCTGTGAGTTTTATCTCACTGTGGAAATGGGAATTAATCCACACACACATTTAAAATAATCCCCAAGCTCTCAGGAGAGTCCTCTGGCCTGCTACATAATTACACTACCTCAGCCCTACTAACCCACTGAAACAACATCATGGAAAATGTCACATGGGGTATTTACAGTTATGCGTCCTCAGACAGAAACAACCTCCAGGGTGTGTGTTTGTTGCTACCTGATAGTCTGTGACCAGTAAATGTGCATAAAATTAACAGCCCTCTGATTAAAGGAGCAGTTAAAGTGACCACAGACCACAGCCGAGCGCTAATGAATGCATGCAGAGCTGTTCTAAACTACCAATGACATCTTCATTACTTTCCATTTACCTCTTATAATCGTACATTCCTACAGTAACTTGTTATTGACATGATACAGATTTTAAGAAGCAGGAAGGAGACAAGGTGTGTGTATGTTTTTAAAGAATGACTTGCAAATAAGCATATATTTGGTAAAATACATGTTATTTAGTTTCAATTTCAGTGTGAAGTAGAGCCTAAATCCCATTTCAAATACAATCACTGAATTGCTGTTGCTACAACTCTGTGTCTTGGATACATACTCTGCAGTACAGTATGTACCTTACATTGGCTGTTTGTCAAAGAAGTAGTATGAATTTCACAATGTGAACTGGGAGTTCATTGCTAGGTCAGCTGTTCAGTTTTTGATTCTTTGGAGTAAAGCATTTCAGAAAGTAATTCACAAGGATCCAACAGTGGATCTGTGGTGGCAATACGAACCCACTGGAGAAAGACAGGCAACCCTGAGGAACGGATCAACGTGGGAGAAGATGAAAAGATCAGTGAAGAGTATGACTCTGTTTCCACTGGCTTTATATTTACATGCTCTTAACCTCCCATTGAGCTACAGTATACACCACAGAGCAGTGAAGCAGTGATGTGTTTTATTACACAGGAGGGAAGGACAGCATAGAGGGAGATGGAAATGGAGACAGGAGATAGAGACAGATGTACCGGAGAGACACACAGACGGACAGAGTTTGACAGATGTAGAGAGTGAAAGTGTAACAGAGACAGACAGAGACACCGTGCTTGGAGTTAAAACAAGAACCTTCGGTACCGATTGTACAAGTTGCCTATGGCAACTCTTCAAGGGAAACTCCATCAACCCCGACAGCACTTTAAGAACGTGGAAGTAGTTTACTTCCATAACACTACTACAGCATAACATGCACACAATGTATTGTTTTTTTTATTATAGCGGAATTTGCTTAAAATGTATAAGACAGTTGTAGATGATCAAACAACGAAGTACAACAACTTCTGATGGAAAAAAAATATTATATAACTTTAGATCTAATTGGGTAATAGAAACACATACAAAGAGTAGCTCTGTTATTCACAGCATTGTTAATGCTTCTAGGAAAACCACAAAAGCATACACACACTGAAAACACTGATGATGCTGATAAATAGTCATCATCATTATGAAGACCAAACCAAAAGGTCCAGTGTGTAAGGAGGATCTATTGGCAATAGTATAATGGAATGTAATATGCGTAACTATGTTTCCATTACTGTATATTAATCTGAAAATAATACTGTATCCTCTAGTGGAGCAGTGGATCTATTACATGCTTTGGCGTGTGACTCGGTTGGTCATTTACACTTCCATTAACACCGCTATTCCTTTCAGAGCTCACAGTTTGTGGTAACACTTCAAGTCCTTTCAGCCCTTTCACTCCATCTAACTTTTCACAGCTTCTATTCCAGAAACACCCAACGATCAGCATTTTAATAATAATAATAATAATAATACATTTTATTTAAAAAGCGCTTTTCTGAATACTCAAAGACACTGTACAATATAATATAAGAAGAATACAAGAACATCAATCAGTAAAACAATATAGAACCGTACATTACATACGTTAAAAACACATTAGACTGAGCTAGATTTTAAAAGCCATTTTAAAAAGGTGTGTTTTTGTCAGTGAATTTTAAGGTATTTACGCTGCTGCTTTAAATATGTAAAAGAAAAATGACCCATTTCTAGTTTTAAATAAAGATATGATCTCTCCAAATGTTCAGAATTGTGTTCATATGTTATCTCTCATCCCCTGACAACAAACTACGAAACATATTGTTAAAGTAAACTCTAGTTGTTGGTGGCTCAGAAGTGAGCACATAGTGAGCAGAAATCAGCTTCTGCAAATGAGGTTTACGTGTACAGTGTAGAGAATTTGTTTGACATCCAGAGACAGACACAGACTTTGACATACAGAGACGGAGTGATTTTGCACTGCATCACATCTGTGGCAGCCTCAGGCAGCAGCCAGAGGGCCACAGGGAGGAGCCTCATTAGTGGGATGATGTGTTAGTCCATATTTTGCTCGTCATCTGCTACTTACTTCAATGCTTCATTTTCTTTGCATAATCTTTTCCTTCCCCCACCCTCTATAAAGTGGTTCAAAGAGAAACAACATAATCATTTTGGAAATGCAATATAGCCTTTTTTTTTTTAACTTTTTTTAAGAAGTCTACATTTTGTTAGTCGTCAAAATTCAATTTACAGGCACAAATGTAAAGTCTGTGCCAAGCTGAAACAACAAATTGTTAAAATACAATTTTATTTTCAGTGAACAGCACTGTCGAATGAGCTTACCACATTAATTAATAGACGCTGTTTATTTGGAGGTTAATTAGTCCTTGGTTGATTGTTAAATAAAGAGTTGGACACTGATTGCCATTGATTACCTCTCAACAGTTCAAATGCTCAGACAATTATATCTGAATTTGTTTTCGTATCAAGGTTAATTTCTCCACAACAAAGTGTTGTTAAAGAAAAGAAGACGTGTTTGATTTAACCGCAGAGTGATATTAACTATGACTGTTTTCTAAGGTCAGAAAATGTAACAGCTTTCATTGAATTAATGTTCAATTTATGATTACTTTGCAGGTCATTTGATTAAAGCTAACTGGAATTTGTGTACTTCTCCTCCATGCACCCACACAGAGCTCTGAAAATTTAAAGATCACAGGGAGAACAGGTTGTCCCCACTTGAATAACATGGAACTTCAGCTGAATTTAGAATTCTTGAGATCCAGACGCATGAGGAAACTCAAACCAGCAGAAAGCACTTTATTAGTGCTGTGAGAAATGCCTGACCTAACAGTGACAGTGAAATAACATTTAAAGCTTTCTATTATTTTTTTTACTGGGGGGCACAAAGTTATTGATATTATGGCTGATACTACACATTATTGCAATCTGCTGTTAAAGTTACAAACCAGTTTTATAAATTAATATTTGAATTGAACTAACACTGTTGAGGCACTTATGAAAAAGGAACAGGAAAGGGACTACAGAAAACTATGTCTGCTTCTTCTGCTTTTCATCTTAACAGAATCCATTAAGACTAACAGCTGTACCTGATGTCTAAGTGGTTGAGGCTACACGTAGAGTAATTTCACCAATAATGTGCACATTTATGTGTAACCTGATATCTAAAGGGAAACCATGGAAACATTGGCAACATGCAGTGAACAACTGACCTGTAATTAAGGTGCTCTATGAGGGATGGTTGATCACGATTGCTCATGAGAGCAGAGATGAGATGAAGAAAAATGAGAGGAAAACATGAGCCCTGAGAAATTGGGTAAGGATCAGTGAAGATGAGAGGAAGGAGGGGAGGAGAGGTAAATGGGAAAGAAAGGAAAGGGATAGAAGAAAGGAAAGAGGAGAGAAGAAGAGAAGAAAGTAAAAAGGGAGAAGCAGAGGAGGGGGTTAAAGGGAAGAGGAAAGGAGAGGGAAAAGAGAAATGGCAATTAAAAGGGAATATGGGAAGAGAGGAAGGAAAAGCAAGGGAGGAGAGGAAGAAAGGAAGAGGGAGAGGAAGGAAAATTGAGCAGGAGATAAGGGAAGAAGAAGGGGGGAGCAGAGTAGAGAAGAATTAGCTGTCCTTTTCTACAGCTCTCCTGGGATCCTCAATCTGCGCTGGCCAATTTAAACACAGGGCTTTGGAGATTGTGTGTGTGTGTGTGTGTGTGTGTGTGTGTGTGTGTGTGAGTGGGGGGGGAGAGAGAGAGAGAGAGAGCGAGAGAGAGAGAGAGAGAAAGAGAGAGAGACAGAGAGAGAGAGAAAGAAAGAAAGAGACAGAGCGAGAGAAAAAGAGGAGAGAGAGAGAGAAACAAGAGACAACTGCTGATCCCTCAGACCGACCTAATGACCATTCCTCCGATGTCACTTGTGAAACTTGATAACAACAATATGATGCTCCAACTGAGCTTTAATTAGGAGGGACAACTGAACAAGCCAGGCAGGTGAGGAGTCAGGTGGGATTCTCAGGTCTTACCTGTCTCACAGCGTCGTCCTGTAAATCCAGAGGGACAGACACACGTGTTGGGAGACACACAGGTCCCTCCGCTCCTGCATCCCTCCTCACAGAAGGCTACAAAGAGAAAAAGAGATTTATTAGCTCAGTTTGTCTCCATATCCTGGATTTCACAGCAGTAGCACAAAAGGGGCTTTGAAATCCCGCAGTTTAAGGTTTCATGAAGACATTACGAAGTGCAAAGTGGTTCCCCTGACTATATTTGTAAAAGCAGTGTAACCGTTCTGAGAGGAAACGCTGACACTTTTGTCATTCACATGGGTTTATAAATGGTGTTTTTATGTTTGGATTTGTGTGTGCTCAGGATGTGGAATGCCATGGAACAACCTGATAAAATCCGAAAAAATTGCAATATCTTGCACCTAAAAGAGCCACTTCACCCCCCAAAAGAAAAAAAATCACAGCAGTTTTATTACCGACATCACCTCATACAAAACTGTAACCTGTACTCTTCAAATTCATATTGCTTTCAAGTGGTTATCATTTGGCGGACAGCTTCTCCATATGGCTGCTAAAGTATCAGAATTAAGTGATGGAGATAAAAAAGGCACCATGGGTAAAAAGTCTTAGAGACATTTTTAAAGGTGCACTAATATTTTTAAATGAACAATCATTCAAATGAGTAATGTGACAGTGGTCACTTGTAGTGACAAACCAACAGAGTATTACAGTATGGCTCTTTTTTTAGCCTCTTTCAGCTCATTGTTTTGATTTTACAGCACATTTACTGTATGGCTCAGATTAAACGCTCTCATCCAACCTGTTTCCAGCAGCTGTTTTCAAAAGCAAACCATGACAAAACTGTCTGCACACTACCTGTGCAGCACCAAAGAACAGACAAAGTTAACAAACCGGTAAAATAAGTGAAACATCTAGGATAGACGATAGAGTAAGATATTTTTTGCCAGAGGAGACAAAACCAGAGGAGAGTAAATAATGGCCTGACATTCGTCCAGTGGACTGAAAAATTACTCCAAATGAATACTAATGTAAATCTTTATTTTATAAGGTGATAATATAGCATATGTCAGATGTTGTGTTTTCAGCATGTTGTAGAGATCATCTATCCCAAACTGGACAGAAAAAAATATCACAGCCTTAAAGATTGTACTGTTGAACTGTTGAACTGATTAAATGTCCTTTTTATAGGAATACGGTCTAGACCTGTGCTATATGAAAAATGTCCTGAGATAACTAGTGTTATGATTTGGCACCATACAAATAAAATTGAATTGAAGTGAATTAATGGGTCTACCTGTGGAGCTACACCAGATACAGAAGCAGGCAATAATGCAGCAGGATAAATATGTCCCCCTGTTATGTGTGAGGAATATTAGCATAAAGCAATTGGGATAACAATATTAAAAGAAAACATTTATTCAGCTGTTACACATATGGCCCACAAGGTTTTTTTTTACTGTTAAGCACTGGTTGAAATGAACAATTTTGAAACTTGTGTCACCTGATGCTTCCACTGTAAAACTGAACTGAATAGTATTCCTGTTTTTTATGGAGTTTATTTTGAAAGATGTACTGGTTACAAAAATGTAACAGATTTTATTGTGCATACTCAGGCACGGCTCTAAGGTAAGTGGACTGCTTTTATAAAGCACATTTATCCTGAGAACAGTGCAAGCACTTTACAAAGCACTTCACCCACACGCGCGTGTACACACACACACACACACACACACATTCAAATACATTCCCATGCAAGGAGCTAAACTGAGGCAGCAAATATGAGGTTTAGTCTCAAGGACGACCTGCTCTACCAACTGAGCTACTGTAGTACCACACTTGAAAGAAATGTGATAAAACCCTGGCATGTGTGGATTTGCTGCCTCACATTTTCTCTTGTGGTGTGTATTTTATGAGTGCCTAGTGTTGCTGGTAAGAGGGCCATGGCACCACACATAAAAACACGGATCATTTGTCAGTGCCACCACAAATTCTGAGTTCTGAGAAATTTAGGGCATTAAAACTATTTAGTTGAGGTTAGGGAAAGAACACCTTTATGGCTTAAATAAACAAGTGTTGACAGTAGATGGAACACAAACTGTTGTATCCATTGTCAAAGTCATACACCTTCTCCACTCAGACATCAACACCTACTTTACACCTCCTCTCTACAGTATGTGTCTGGTCATGCCAGAAGGTGCCACAATGAAATTAGGTTCTCTGTCACTAAAACTAAATCAGGCATTAAATGAATTTACACCGATCAGCCACAATATATTAATTTTTATTTATGACCAGTTTCTATCAGAACCAGCATTAACCATTTGAGCTACAGTAGCTCGTCTGTTGGATTGGACAACATGGGTTAGCCTTTGGCTGCCCATGACCCTGTCGCTGGTTCATCGGTTTTCCTTCCTTGAAGCACTTTTGATTTTTGGTTTTGACCACTGCAGACTGGGAACACCCCACAAGAGCTCCAGTTTTAGCCATCACAATTTGGCCCTTGTCAAAGTCGCTCAAATCCTCATGCTGCCCATTTTTCCTGCTTCTAACACATAAACTTTGAGGACAAAATGTTTACTTGCTGTCTAATATATCCCACCCACTTACAGGTGCCATGATAATAAGATAATCAGTCTCACTTCACCTGTCAGTGGTCATAATGATATGGCTGATTGCTGTATTTTGGTCAAAAACTTTGCTGTTTTAAACACTGGTGGGACCAAGCCCTGAGAGGTTATACATTATATACGTCACTGATTTTGCTACTGACTGTCATTATTTGCCCCACCACTAGAGGTCACTTGTCTGGGAAATATGTTGGTGGTCAAAAACAGGAATAAAAGTGTATAAATAAAGCTCAAATGTGACCTTGTGAAAAAAATAATTTAATTTAACATCAAAATGTTTAACTCTGACAGTCCATAATTACTCAACCACAAGTCAGATTTAGATTACATTTGATTAATCGATGCATATTGTTATTGATTGCCCATAGAGCTGCAGGCATCATTCATGAGGTGACATTTCACCTGTCTACTTTGTAGTTATTTGAAAATCTTGTGTGTACATCTCGCCACCTTTTGTTGGAAGCAGGCCGGCAGTGCAGATGACTGCGTTTTGTTCTGTGAGCGTGCAGGGAGTGATTAATCAACATGGCTGAGACTCACAAACCAGAAACTGCAGGTTGAGGAGAGCCGGCAGAGGAATGTTCTCTACTGAACAAAAGGAAGAGCGAGTGGGGGGAGAGACAGTGAGAAAGAGTAGTTAGCCAGTTCTTAAAGCGAGGAGGATTAAACCAAAAAGAGGGCATACTTAATTGAGCAAGTTCATTAAAGAGAAATTACTTGAGTATTTCTAAGCTTAATTAATGACATGATTTGAAAGATGAGCCTAAATGGGCTGAAAAATCTATTTATAGTGACATACATAGGGTGTGTGAGTATGATATCTGTGTGTGTGTGTAATGTATGTGCAACAGCTCGTATTCCTTTTAGTTTATGAATCCAAAGAATCATAATTTATCTGTGTAAATGATCACCCTGGTGTTTGGAAAAAAAACTGCTAAATATACAAACGAATGCATAAGTGCAATAAATAAAAGCAGAGTCTCATGCCAGAAGCTATTAGAGCTATTAATTTGACTGGTTCCACTATTTAAGACGTTCTATCAGGCCCTCATTAGGAGCCTGATTGCCTCTGTACTAATAAACCTCACACTTAAAAATTAATTACACTTATATTGACTCAATCTATCTCCAGCTCTAATTATCATTTCACCACCATCAGCATAATGCTGCCTGCCTGTTGAACTAATGACTTCCAAAGATGAGGGGGCTTCACTGGGGGTGGGTGTATTGTACGTTTTTAAGACCCCCATTTTTCAATCAAGGCTGCTGGCAACAATTTTCTAGCTAAAAGACAACCCCAAGTTTCCAGTTAGTTCCAGTATTTTCTTCTTCCCAGAATAAACAAAAACTCTCGCTGCGTAACTTTAGACCACTGGCATACAGAAACTTTCCACTGAAACTCACATTTAGCACAATTATAATGTGTACCAATATGCATTTTTATGGAATCCATTTGCTACAACAGCTACCTGTTTGTTTCCTATTTACCATAACCCAACGCATCTGTATGTTATCTTATTCCAGAATGACTGACCCCACCTTTTGCAGGCTCGGCTGCTTTGAGTTATGTTACTGCTTGTGGCTTTTTTGCATTGCAGCAGTGCAACTGACCAATCACCACCCTGCAACAACATGGTTTCTTGTTTTTGAAGTTCAAGTGAAATTCAGTGACGTTGATTTGGAGTTAGACGCAAATTTTCTACAGGTAAGGTCAGGCTATGGTGAGCATTTACCTGATTGTGATCGTGTTTACATTCTTTAATTCAATGTTCGATAGGGAGTGGAAAATGGCGACAAGAAGTTTATGCTTGAAATTGCTTTGCTAGATCTTCGGTGGATGTACAGCATGTGCTCTCTAAGGGATTCATTTTAGAGGAGAACTGGTTGTTTTCAGCTTTTCTACATAGACTTATACACAAAGTGTGATAGCGATGGTTTTCCATTCCCGAATAAAACTGAGAAGAGAAAAGTGGTCCTGCTGTTCCGACAACCACAGCAGAGAACATTCCATACTGCTGAAAAGGAGTAGTACTTCACATCTTATACAGTAGAAAACAAAACGTACAAAGATGAGAGCTACAGTTGCATTGTATTCTGTTCCATTTCCTTCTCCTGTGGTTGTACAAACTGATCTCTATTTCGATTTCCTCTTCTGACACCAAAACCTGGTGTTTACCATTGATGCTACAGATTGCTATCATGTTCCACTGTTGCTGGAAATATCTCAAGCCTCCACAAACTCTGTAATCTCACCACCGACTTATACAAAGCATTTCACCAACACTTCACCACCTTCCTTCATCTTCCTCTCCTCTTTGTGTGCCTTGTATCAATTTTCTTTTCATTTTTCCTCTCCGGCTCCTCCCCCCACAGAGACAAATGGCTTATGCTGAGGCTGCGTGGAGGTGACAGCCCTCCTTCATTGTAGTCTCTGTGACCTCCAGCTAAACTATCTCACTGCTCAACTGA